CCCCCCCCCCCTCTACACACCGACGGAAGGAATGCGCCGATACGAAAATGCCGAAAACTCCATGATTTATGCCATAGGTAGGAAAACTGCAGGGCGGAAAGGCAGCAAGGCAGCAAGGCAGAAAGGCAGCCAACCAATCGGTGACGACTTAAAAACGTAACACCACCATGCATGCATCCTTTCGCCCGGTCACTGATTGAGCCCATCCCCCCGGCGGTGATCTCTCTAGGTGCTGAAGGTCAGCATCCATCCATCCATCCAGCAAACCGTGCATGCAGTCGTCTGGCTAATCAGAGGGAGCGAAGCAGGGGCGAAGGAAAAGCCCCCCTGACTAACTATGCGCCCGCCACTCGCTTCCCCTTGTCGGCTACCAGTCCAGTGTGTAGTGTGTTGTTTGTTTGGATCTCTCTCTATGTGTGTGTGTGTTGTGTCTGTCTAACTGTCTAGGGTTTCTTGAGTCCGTATTTCTCGGGCTGGAAGATGTCCTTGATGACCGCATCAACCACCTCTTGCAACTGAAACACACACACACACACACAGAGACACCCACACACACACGGTGGTTGCTGCCTGGAGTATGGTCACTGACTGACAGATTGGCTGACCTCGACGCGCGCCTTGGCGGGGTCCGATGACGACATCTCAGAGTACCACTTGAGCTTCGGCTCAGTGCCTGACACACATACACACACACACAGACCATTTACCGACACACCACACCCACGGTGTGCATGTGATGTCAACCCACCACCCTCCCAGTCACCCTCCCTGTCACCTACCGGACGTGCGGGCCGTCAGTGTGGCGCCGTTCTCGAACGTCAGTGTGACCTGACCACACACACAATCACACAGGCAGACAGCAGACACACACAAGATGCACCCACAGTCTCACCACATCGCCCCCCCCCCTCTCACACCTCTCACACACGCGTACCGTACCATTTGTGAGGTGGCTGTGAGTGGGAAGGTGCATTTCTTGTCAGGTTTGGTGGAGTCGTATCCGACGGTGACGTCTCGGATGGCGGTGACCTTGAACTTGCCCAGCTGCCACTTGTACTGGCCGTTGTTGCGGAACTCGTCGAAGATGGCCTTGAAGGTCGGCGGGTCGTAGCACAGGAAATAAGCGTTGTTCGTCACGAAGTAACCGTACCTATACACACACACACAGGCAGACAGAGGCGTGTGTGGGGTGTGATGGGTGTGATGGGTGTGAGGAGGAGGGTGGTTCCTTACTTCTTTCGGAGTTCGTCGAGTTTGTCGTGTACGGTTTTGCCCTGTGCGTAGAGCTCGCATGCCATCTCGACCCACACGCCGGATGCCGACACGCCGTCCTTGTCCGCAACCTTCTCGCTCAGCTGGTAGCCTGCACCACACACAGCCACACATACACGTGTGTGTGACACAGTGGCGTGTGGTGCGAGGCTGGCGGGGTGGGTGCGGTGCAGGTAAGGAAGGTACCGAGTGCCTCTTCGTATGCCAGAAGGTGCTCGAATTGCTCCTTGTTGCGGACCTCCATCGACTTGTTGGCCATCCACTTGAAGCCCGTCATCGTGTCCTGCAGGACATCCAAGATGCAATGCACATGCCGTAATCAGACGAGACGAGCAGCTCGCCTTTTTGTGTGCTTGTGTTGTGTTGGTGCTTCCCTCCCTGACCTCGAATCGACAGCCCTCAGTCTCGGCGAGTTTCTTGAGCATGCGGGACGACACAGCCGAACAGATGAACAGCATGCTCGCTGACCCGCCGACACACATAGACACACACATACACACGTGACAGTCACACCATGGGTACATGGGTGCGCGTGTGTGTGTGTGTGTGTGTGAGGTACATGCGGGAAGTCCCTTCTCCTTGAAGGCCTGGAACTGGTATGCGCCGAACAGAATGCCCAACTCGTCGCCATGGAAAATGTGCCACTTGCCGCTGACAAAAACGGAACACAAACACGCATCCATCCATCCGCTTTTTTGTCGTGTGTGTGTGTGTCTGTGTGTGGCACGCACTCCTTGGTCTTCTCAGCAGCGGCGAATCGGTCGGCGTCCGGGTCGTTGGCGATGACCATGGGGGAGCCCTCCTTGTCGGCCAAGGCCATGGCCAAATCCTGCCATCCAGTCACACGCGCACGTGGTCGGTTGGTGGATCGGTCCTTCCTTGTGCTGACTGACTGACCAGTGCGCCCTTCTCCTCAGGGTTGGGGAACGACACCTGCGATGCCATGCACACCACACAAGATCACACACACACACGCACTCAGCCACGCTGGTGGTGGATGTGTCCGTATGTGATGTGTCTGGTGTGTGTGTGTGTGTCGCATGGCATAATCATACGGTGGAGAACTCAGGGTCGGGGTCACGCTGCTGCGGCACTGGTACCAGTAGATAGATGAGGACACACACATACACACACAGACACGCAGACACACATGACACCACATGGCACGACGTGGGCATGGAAGAGCAAGGAGGACAGGGGAGCTCAGCTGTGCGTACCGACGATGAGGTTTTTGAATCCGAACTTCTCGACTATCTGACTCACAAACGGGTAACCCACACCTAAACACACACACACACGCGTAGGGAGAAATGCATCATCACATGCACGTGCGGTCGCCACCTCACCGTGCATGGCCGTGTAGACGATCTTGAGGTTGCTCTTGGCAGTGGCCTCGCTGTCAGAGAATGCGAGCACAGCACACAGATGGACGACGGCTGTCATGCTGTCTGTGGTAGTGTGTGTACGTGTGTGTGTGTGGTAACTTACGGCTTTCGGGCGAGGTCCTTTGGGATTTCCGTCATGTAGCTGCCCACAGACTCGTCGTACAAGTCGACTATCTTGGAACTGAGAGGCACATGCGAGACAGACAGATACATACAGCTTGGTCAGTCAGTGTGCATGTTGTGTGTGTGCGGCTGGCTGCGTAGGTACGTGTCTTTGAGGAGTCCGGTGTTAGCGTCGAGTAGTTGGTCAACGCCCTCCCACTGGTTGAGGTTGGCCATGATGCACTCGGAGATGTGCTCGTCAACCGGAGGGATGATCTGAGGAACATGTATACACACACCACACCAGACAGCACCCAGACAGACAGATACTTCCCTTCGTTCCCATGGAGACGTCCCACGCCCCACCACCCAACCCACCTGAGCGCCGTTGTCGCCGTAAACCTTGTAGCCTGCAAGGCATGCGACACACACAACACCACCAACACGAAACTGCACAAGTTCTCGTCTGTCAGGGGGTGTGTGTGCGCCGTGTATATATAGGATACTGTGCCTACCGTTGTCGATTTTGGGGTTGTGCGAGGCGGTGACCATGACGCCGCACGACGCATGGCGGGCCTTGGTGGCGTAAGCCTGAACACCATTCATGTGTTCACGCGAGGGAGTCAGCGAGTGAGGTCACACACGTGGTCGCATGGTATGTTTGCGTCTCGTACGTACGTACGAACCACCATGGGTGTGGCGACGGTCTTGAGGTAGAGGTACACCTTGAACCCCTTGGACAGAAACACCGCAGCGGTCACGTGGGCATACCTACACACACACACACACACACACATAAGACATGGATGCAGAGGCTTGTCTGTCTGTGTATCTGTGTGTCTGTGTGTGCTCACCGCTGTGAGTTGTGCCGTCCGTCGAGTCCGATGACAACGCCGCGCTCCTTGGCCATGTCGCCCAGAGACTTCAACACATACGTGCAGAGACCCTGACGGAGGGACACACACACCCACACACACGCATCCATGCGCCGAGGCTCCTTCCTTCACCGCCCGCATGCATGCGTGTAGGCACCTGTGAGGTCTGGAGCACGACCACGTCGTTCATGCGGTTGAAGCCAGCACCCATGTTGCCGCGGAGACCAGCCTGAACCAACACATGTTGCACAGACGGCGTGTACCATCCACATGCCATGCAGCAGGGCAGGTGTGGTGAGCCCGGCTGACCGTGCCGAACGCCAGTCGCTTGCAGAGCCGGTTCTTGAGCTCGTCCATGTCGCCCTTGTCCACTATCGCCTGCACATCACACACATGCGCCGATACGCGCATCTCTCTCCCATCCGTCTGTCTGTCACGTCACATGCACCCGATTTCGACGCCTTTCGCCCACCTTGAGTTCGTCCTGCGTCTGCTTCCTCTTGTCCATGCCGTACCACTCCTGCAGGTGGGTGCGGGTGGTCAGATCAGACACCTTCTCGGCGATGGCCGCCACCTCACTCGCGGGCAACAGCGACATGGTCTTGTACGTTGATGTACGTAACCAACGGACCTAACGAGGGATCGGATCAACCGACGCGCGGGGCTGCTCGCCGAAACTTGAACGGGGCTGAAGGGAGAACACGAGGGTTTGGGGCCAGGGTTTAGGGTCTAGGGTACGATCTCTCTATTACCAACTCGTATCCACCCACCACCCACCAGTTCGTCCGCCGTCTTTTCGGGTTAGACGCTGCGGCAAATTTCCGCGCTGCCTGTGCTGGAGAGCTGCGGTCCGGGGAGGCGCGGTTGCGGAGATATGAGCGGAAATGCGTTTCGCGCGCGGAGCAATCACAACCGCCCGAGGTCCACATAGCGCAGTGGATGAGGCGTCCAGCGGGGGTACAGAAAGTCGCGGGTTCGAGTCCCTGGCGTGTATGTTATGCCCACCACCACCACCCACCAAATCGTCCGCCGTCTTTTCATGTCAGACGCTGCGGGAGCTTCGCGCGTTGCCTGTGCTGAAGAGCTGCGGTCCGGGGAGGCGCGGGTGCGGAGATCGGAGCGGAAATGCGTTTCGCGCGCGGAGGGGAGCGGTTCACCCCGCCAGCATAGCGCAGCGGGTGACGTTTAATGAAAGTCTCGGGTTCGAATCGCAGAGCGGTCCTGTACATATTGAGCTCGCACAGTCCGCCTCCCTGATACAGCTTTCCAGAACGCCCGCGGGTGCGCGGGCCAAACTCTAGTCTTTCCGAGCGGAGCTGAACGCATGATTGAGGACGCAAACACGGCATCATTCACGAGGGCACGAGCGGCTGTCTCTGCTCTTCTTTTCGGCTCTGACGTCCCCATCAGTCACCCTTCACAGGTGAGTGGAGGAGATGGAGCAGCACCACGCCATCATTCACGTACACAATTGTGCACCCCCTGCCTTCAGGTCACTTCTCGCCGGGCTGCTATCTGCACCCAACGCACCCATCGCCGCTCCAGGAGATCAACGTCTTCGGCCGAATGGGCGTCATGGTCAAGCGCGACGACAAGCTCCATCCCCACATCCAGGAAGTTCTTCAGCCTGCACAGAGCTGCCTTTGCTGCGGCCCTGGAACGTGGCGTGGACTTTCGGCCTCTTGCGAATGCTGAATACGCTAAGTAGGGGACGAGAGCGGTCTGGTGGATAGATAGGTGCTGGTGCATGCGTCCGCGTCTGCATCCGCGTGTGTGTGTTTGTCCGGTGCCTGCCCTCCTGGATGCAGGCATTTTGGTGGAAATGCCGGCTCGCCACCGTTCCCCGAGACTCTCATGCCGCAGGAGGAAAATGTTCTGTTCATTCCACAGGTACCTCCCATCCACGCACACAACACATCACATAACACCACACCACACCCACCACCCCTTTGTGTGTATGTCTGTGCTCCGGAGGGCGCCAGTGGTTTGGCTGAGGAAGGCGTGGCCCCTCTCGCCGAGGAGCTTCTGACACAGCTAGCTGCCTTCACCACCACCAACGGCAGCAGTAACAGTCGTGTTACCTGGTTGCACTGGGTCGACCGCCCTGTTTGTTTCTCGCCCGCCACATCACATGCAGACCAGGAAAGATGCTGACGTGGTGGTGGTGCCTGTGGTGGGCGGGCGACTGGGCGTACATACATGGCCAGGCAGACAGATGACCCGACTCGATCTCTCTCTCTGCGATAATCTATGGTCTTTCCCTCGTTGTAGGTCATGACGTCTTCCCCTCGATTGCAGTGCCGTCCACCCCACCCCGCTGTCCGCCTTCGGCGAGCCCACCCAGGGCAACTATCATCAGCTGTGGCAAGATACAAGGGCCTTGCTGTACTGTAGTGTAGAACGGTTGTCGATAGGTCTGCCTGCCTGCCTGCCTGCCTGCCTGCATGTGTGTGGATGGATGGATGGCTTGACGGATGGATGGAATGTGTACATCTGTCCCATTCAGTCCTTTTTGTGTCATGGGCATGCATTATGCAACGTGCCATGCATCATAAACTGTTATCAACCAAAACAGACAAAACGTCACGCAACCGACAACGAAAACGCACGCAGCAGAAAACCAGAAAGGATCCACCAGCATGTATCCATGTATCCAGCACACAAACACTACAGCACCATATCGGCCAGGGGATTCGCGACGATGGGTGGATGGATGGGATGGAGGGAAGAGTGGCTGTAGCTGTGCGTGAGAATAGCGAGGTCTCAGTAGTGGTGCGGGTGGAGTAGGTGGATGGGGGCAGAGGAAAACGGCCAGCCCCCCCCCCCCCCCCCCC